ATAAATACAAACTTTTTTTCCCCGAAACATCTGGATCATGATGGGGGGAAAAAAACAGAGAGACAGACACACACACACACACATTACCTATTAACTTACTGACAGAGATATGGGCATGTAAAATATTATTCAACAGCTACATTCTTATTATTACTGATGGGAAAGCTCTGCAACATCATCCCCAGTAGATACACAAATCCTGCTAATTGGCAACCCCAATGTCAGACTGGTCAGTTCTAGGGTGGTTAAACGGTACTGCTGGAAAAGTAAAGGCAGTTAGCGCTATCAGACATCTCCCCTGTGCAGCACGTTTTTGGCTGTTATGTAACATTAGTTAAATTAGTGACAAAGTAATGTTAATTAGATACATGTCAGTACTACCTCCTTGTCTAGGGTTGGGAACATCAGTTACAACCTTAGATTAAACTGGTGTACAGCTATGTCCTGTACACATCCTGCACATCTTGAGTTTTCAAAGAAGTCTGACAACTGGTTGTTGAAGAAAGGACAGTGGTGACAATGGAGGACCTGAGGTTCGTAAGGCAAATCAGGGTCGCAAAATAGTCATTTTTAGCTAATGAAGAGACCTTTCTTTTGGATTTTAATATGCAAATGAAATCCTGTATAGAATAAGAAAAAGATGCATCAATAATTGTTTTATAATTGCATTACAGCCCTCTAAATGGTAATCGAACATTGTGATCCACCAGAAAGGGAGGGACTTAGGCTCTTTATTATGTTATGGGAGACCATATCAGGCTGCCTGTAGCTGAATTACAAATAATAAAGAATTTAGTTACATGAAAAACAAACATTTTAACCACTTCTAGAAATAATAAAACAGGTATAAAATAGTGCACCAAAACACTTAAATGCATTTCCTCTCCTTAAAATGTTTTAATTTAGTCAATTTTCATTGATCTGTTCTTTTAAATTCAGTTCTGAAATATTAAATTTTTCTGTCTTATTTACCAATTCAAAAACTCCTGAAAAACGGAAGGCCCACAGAGTCAACACAAGCTTATTCTACAATCAACATAACAGTGCCCTTTAAAGCAAAAACTAAATGATGCAGGTCTAAATCGTTGTTTAGAGCATAGTGACCTAACATAAAAACAAACAGCTCTTCACTTGCTAGTGCAAGCTAGCCAGGGTTTCTGCAGGTTTCACCTAGTCAAATTTGAGACGTTTTAAGACCATTATGAATGAAATTTAGGATCTCTATCACGACATCACAAAAATAAAACTACAAAGGAAATGCAATCACAAAATTACATGCAGAGTAAATAAATGTATTCAAATGTAACAGTACTGAACAAATTAAGATGCATTGTTGCAACAAACATAAGCATAAGTTTGTGGATGCCTGACTCAGTGAGTGAGTGTATGTGTGTACGCGCACTACATCAATCTGCTCTGCCACAAATTTGAGTGGGGGTTTGGTGGTCCTCCCCCAAGAAAATGTTTGTTTTCCAATAAAGAAAAATGCAATTCCACATAATTTTTAATAAACTACACCCCAAAAGCTAAACTTGCTAAAGAAGTCTAGGGGGGGTTACGATTAGATCTGGGAAAAGTCATTTAATTACTTTTGCTCTCCAAAATAAATTTTACATTGCACAGCACCACGCTGTTTTGAGCCTCACCCCCTTATAAGGGCATAAGGGCAATTATTACAGATAGGACACGTTCACGTTTGCCTTTTGTGTCTTAATGTATTGCTTTGTACATTTGTAGAATTAACATTAACAAAAAAAATAGGCAATGAGAACCACCTCCCTTCTGTATAACATATAAGCATTTCATTTGTACATCAAAATCTAAAAGAATATTTTCCTAATTAGCTTAAAAGGACTAGTTTACATCCCTGAATTGCTTTAACATTTACTAATCTCAGCTCCTGTGTGGTCACCACTGTCCTTTCTATTTAATTTAACTACCAAGATGCACAGGTAGTGTACAGGACAGAGCTGTAACCTGACAATTTAATGCTAATCTTGTCCTCCGCTAACTTTCACCGTCACTTTCTGCCGCTTTCTCACATTCGATCTTCCTTTGAAGAATGAGGAGAGGGAGATCAGCGGCGTAGCGACAGGATGCTTCAAATACGTTGCTAGCGACTGGTTTTAACCAAGTCGAGTTCTGCACTTCCACCGTGGAAACCATGCCAACAAATAAAATAGCTGGCTCATTGGTTGACTTTGTTACTACTTACAAATCCTTGAGACGTCATGTGAAACATGAGTGGAGAAACTGGGCGAAGCATATCGAGGAGTCCAGATGAAGCAACAGCTGACCGGGAAACATCTTATCATCTTTGGAGTCCACGGAGTTTTATTTGGTCCTTTGCCTAATCAGTGTACATGACAGTTTTCTCCGTCACTTTACGTTAACGTTACATTCCAGAGCTCCTTTACTTCTCACGCCGAGCTTAAACTAACTGACAGCATTAGCACATAAGTTACTAGCAAGACACAGTAACAACAGCTAACGTTAACGTTACATTCAAATAGGAGCTAATATCACCATTATTAGCAGCTTATTCACGATTAGCAACACACTACATCTTGATCAAGCGGTACTCAAAGAGGTACTTACATTCTGCAGGTTACAATATGTCAGTTACCCGTTGTTAAAACTCTTAATGTGCATAATTACTCTAGTTCAGCTTTTACCACTAACGGCCGGTGTGTTTTCTTGTCTCACTATCCTGCGACTTCACTCTACTGCGTTGCCTTACTTCCCGCCCATCGACCTTTCCCATTGGTCGACAATTTGCTAAGAACCAATGCAATTAACAAAATGCAAGATAGACAGCGGTATACCCTCTGGGTTTAGATTGAGCACTAACCGCTAAATTATATGTAAACAAACTATTTGAATTTCAATTGTTTTAACACAATGACAAAGATGTATTTATTCCCCTATTTCACTCTTGAAAAAATAACATTTAACTGTATTTATTCATCTCTATTTGTTTACATATTCATGAGTCAAAATGATATACTTTTTAAAACTGGGCTAACGTTACATAATGTTAAATGAAGGACATGAACACTAAACAACCTAACATTAGGTTGTTACAAAAAACAACAGGGGAAATGTTTTCTTACCTGAAATCCTTAATATCTTAACAGGCTAGCGTTATGTTAGAGCCAACCGCGTCGCAGTGGATGAAGAGCAGCAGCACTCCAACTCAAACAGACGTATTTTCAAACTTGAGCAAGAGGAGCGTTGTACCGTAGCAACTGTGAAAGATGATTTGGTTTTAAAAGAAAATAAATGTGTGTATTTATTGGTGTTTTCATTGCAGTGAATGATTAAAAAATGAATAATGATCAATGAAGTTTTATTAATTCCTCACCAGTACATACAATACAGTACAAGGTTGATTTATTTAATATTTTACAGGGTTGTAAGATGAAGATTGTAGTTTATGCTACTCACACATAACATTATATAAAAAAAATTATATACACTACATGGGTGGATAAAGTCACAGAAAGAAAACTGTTTTAAATGTTGCAGTGCTGAGGATGAATTTAGGAGTCTAATAGCCTGGGTAAAAGAAGCTGCTCTGTGAGTCTGGTGGTGCGACAGCAGATCCACCTTTATCTCTTGCCAAACAGCAGCAGCATTAACAGGGTGCGGCTGGTGGGTCTTTTAGTGTCCTTTGGGCTACCTCACCGATATCACTGATGCTCAGCAGTGTTACATGTAACTTTAATCCTCTACAGTGAATAGGTAAAAATGTGTAATTAAATAACAGTTACCTATGAAAATGTTCATGATAACATTGGGGCTTACTGAATATATTCTGTATAAAACTAGCTTATATGTAATCCTCATTTTGTTGCTTTGCATGTTTTTCACGTGCACAATGTCTTCCTTTGACGTTTCCAGATACAGCCATTTAGTAAAGTTTGATGCTGTTCTGATGCGTTGATTGGTTCTCCTGTTTGAATTTGCAGCACCGTCCGTCTGTCTGCCAGTTGAACTGCCTCTCAAGCAATCTTTTGAAAATAGTTCACAGTTGAAAACTACTACTTCATTGGAAGTAATCAAAAAGAAATTAAATACAATAAGTGTTATTACTTTGAATATGTAATTGAAATACACTACTATGACATTTTAAATAGGCTAATTTGTAATCGGTAACCTTTTACATTTCCAAAGTATCCTTCCTAACTCCGTTGCTTAGAAGATGGATGCCAATGATCTACCCACTGCAGACCTCATCCCATGCCAGTTAGTGATGGATCCAGTCAGGAAGCTTAAAAGTTATCAGGAACTTGGCACAGGAATTGAGCCTTTTTACATTTCCTTAAGAAATCCAGCCGTTTTTGTGTTTTCTTCACCAATGTTGAAGATGTGAGATGTCCATGGTAGGTTCTTTGTGATGCTGATTCCCAGGAACATAAAACTGTTCACCTGCTCCACCTCAGCTCCTCTGATATGTAGGTAGATTGGTAGACAGGAGTGTATGTGCCTTTGTCTCCTTTTTCTTAAAATACCTGTTAAGCAGGTTGTTCTCCCGATATGAAGAGTTTCATCGTTTAATATCCGGCCAGTGATGGAAAGAGTTCTCTCCATGTTGGGATGTAATTGTGGCTGTACAGCGTGAACAGGAGTATGTAACAAATTCACATTCTGATCAGATAACAAAACACTTAAAGCTGGTTCTATACCTTATGAGTGTGTTAGTGAATAGGATGACCATCTCTCTTCACCATTTTCTCTGTAAAGATGTTGGATCGACTGTGTTGTGTTTAACACATGTGTAAATAAAGCTGACTCTACTTAATTTGATTTAAGAAAAATATCAATAATAATCACGTATGGTTTTGTTGCACAATTCCAGAATGTGGAAATCACATGATTTTTCTGAACAGCAGGCCTTTTCCAGTTAAATGAAACACAAATAATCTTGTTTTTAATTCATATTCAATTATTTTATAAATGTTAACACACTCTTAACTTTTTTACTGTGCAATGGCCATTGTTGTTTCAGCATCATCAGAATTCTAAATTGGCTCACTGGTAATCAAGTTTTACCCAGCAACAAGCAGACCAATAGGAACTGACTCTGCAGCTTGCCTGCTGCTGCGCACTGAGACTTTGCATGGACGACGCGGTCTTTTCTTCGACGGCCTAACATTGGTGTACCCTTTTTCCGCTGTTTTCGCATTTTGCGGGTATTTCCCCAATTGAAGACAAAGGTAAGAAATAAGTCTAACTACCGTGCAAGACTAGAAACGTTTACCGACGGTGGCTTTATGAAGCTAACGTTAGCTAGCTAGCTAATTAGCTAAGCAACCTTGCCACTTAACATTAACGGTAGCACATTCTGACCATGTGCACCAAGTGTTAGTAACTTAGTTTAAAGAAAAGTTCTTGGTTTATTTATTATCAATGATTTTCTCATGTAACAATTAAGCATTTCTTGTTGTGTTATTTGCTGCATTTTCCCCCACTGGCTACAGGTGACGTTACTAACTTCACAGCGGGCCGCCCTTCAGAACATCTTGCCTTCGACAACGAGGAGAGTTGGTTGACCACTGCCTTTGGTATGTCACATCTCACACATGCAACCTTAGTTTGAGGCAGTTTGTACCGTGTTATAAATTCAGAGTGCAGTTATTACTTACAGTGTTATTACTTAGAGTTCCTAGCTTGTTCTAGTATATAGATTCCTTGTATGCAGGATAACGTAGTCAAGAGATTGTCTAACATTGGGCTACAATGGCATATGTTACGCCAAAGTTTACTTGCCGCTCATGTGGTATGTCCCTGAAAACTATTGAAAGGTATGTTGATCATCAGCTTCTATATAGACATCAGGCAAGCAGTTACTTTCCATGTTGCTTTTCAGACTGCAAGCAAAAATTAACAAAGTACACTGCCTTAAAAGCTCATGTCCATCGTTCCCACAACTGCCCTGTTTCACAGTTGGATGACACAAAAGTCTTTTGTATGTGGTGATGATAATTGTAAGAAGCAATGCATAGATCTGAAGGTATGCAGAAGAGAGAGAGAGAGAGAGGGACGAGCGAGAGGAAGCGCTGTGCAAATGCGCTATGGCGCTCTGCAATGAAATACAATTTTAAATAGGCCTAGTAAAAAAACGAAAATCATTCTGTAGTGGTCAGCGCTGATATTGTGGCGGGCTGCCACAAACAAAATGAACGTGTGGGAAACATTGACCCTGGACACCCTGCATTGTGGTTTGTGGTAGGTTGTGCTATAAAATGATTTTCATCTGTAGGTGAAATTACTTATTTTGAAAAATTTGGTTAACACATGTAATGGGTCAGAATGACTGCACTGTACACTGCAAAAACAAACATGCTTAGAGCTGAAGAAATCATGTTACATAATTTCTTGTGTTGTTATTGTTAAAGTTCCTTGTCTTATGTATTTTTACTTGGCACAGTTTCTGTTTGCAGTATAGACAGAATGTGAGCTATTCAGTAATAAAGTTAACAAAGCAGTGTGCTCAACACAGCTCCTGGCTTACTTAACCTCATTGGATCCATATACCTGCTATTTATTGGCCATGCTAATCATACTGTACTTGCACTTTTCACAGGTAACAGCCCACTCACTGCCAAGATGTTCATGGTTGCAGTGGACCAGGTTATAATCACTGAACAGCTTCCCAGCTTTACTAAAGCTTTCCAGATGATGTTCTGCTCATATTACCTGCACAACATTGACTATCCAGTGGAACTTGCAGCTACACTGGAGTTCTGCCAGAGGTATGGATTGAGTGTGCATTACACTGCTTTAAGAGGTAGCAGAGTTTAAGGCCATGAAGGTCAAAGTTGATCTTGTCTATATATTTGGGTAATTCTCATCAAAGAGACCTGAATATCATTTATTTTTGGGTTTTAAACAGTATTTCAGGTGCTGAGCGAATCTATGCGCTGTGGGAACCTTGGCAATGAATTATGATTTTACTCCTATTACTAGTATATGTGGCGGTCAGCGTTGATATTGAGGCAAGATGTGTCACCACAAATAAATAATTAACAAATTAATTTTAATTCGGTCAGAAACTCCCGGACTGAATCTTGAAAAATGTTTGCATATATCCCACACATCTGTGTAATCTGACATCTCCAGAAAGATTATTATGAGAATAACGTCATCATTTAATCACAATTCACAATATTTTTCAAAATCTCCCCACCCTATAATGTGCTGTTCATTAACTTGCTGTGCTGATATGATTGAATCCCAGACAGAGAGACACAGAACCCGTTTGGATGAGACCGGTGCAAAACAAAACTAACTGAAACCACTTCACCACAAATCCTCATGTTAACCTCAGCAGTTTTGTGCAGCTCACATTACCAACCGAACAAAGCTGTGCTTTAGATTATACATTTTTAGATTGCAAAAGTCGACCAGCTACGTTACCCGATCACAAACGGTCTGCCACTCACTGTGCGATAGCAGATTTGCTTGATTCCTGTCACAGCGTCCGCCAGTGTCGCATCAGCTGGGTGGTGTTATCGCGTGAGTTAACGCAATTTGTTATAGACTGCATTAGTTTTTTCAATACATGAGAAAATTAACATATGGCGTGAGGGCGTGTGGAAAGTGTCAATTGCGTGAGTCTAACGCTCAATGCGTGAGAGTTGGCAACTCTGAGTAAGTAGAGTGGCTAATATTACTTTTTTAAGGAGAATGCTAAGTAACTAGTAGGTAATAGCTATAGACCTATTATTTCTGAGTAACTTGCCCAACACTGAGTTGATAATAAGGATCAGATAAATTGGGTATGTTTTAATTATTGCTTGTTATACAGGCTATGTCTGTCATGCTGTATGAATGGTTGCTTTTTAAGTTTTAGGGTACCTGCAGGGTCTTAAAAGTCTTAAATTTCATAATCCAGTAATAAGGCCTTAAAAGTCTTAAATTTCATTACAAAGGTATTAAATTTTGTTTACCAAGGTCTTAAATTTTTTCTTGTCCTTTCATAGGATTTAATTAATGCCATAACGTCATAAATAAATACTTTGTGTGTGTGAGACTTTATAATGTACTCCGTTTGGTTTCACTGATGTTATACGGCAGTACAGGTAACATTACTGTTTATGTCAGTGTTTAGCTTTACACTCTGAACTGTGTTCACGGTGCACGAGCTCTGGCATCCAGCTCAGCGTGAATCAGTCAGTAGTTAGAAAAGAAAAGAAAATGTCTCTGACGTGCTACTAACGTTAGCTCGACGACTCCGAATGGGCAAGCGTCTGAAATTCAGAAAGCCAGAGATACGAACAAGTTGGCGGGCGAGGCTGAAGGTAGTGGCGCTGAGGTTAGCACCACAAGCTGGTCGGTGGGCGAGCCAATCACACTGTGGCGAGCGCTAATGGAACAGCGGAGCTGGAAGACCCGCTGCAGGTTACTGGTCAGTGAATGATACAACAGCAACGGAGAGACAGGTGTGTTTGAGACGAGGACCGTGTCTGTGTGTCGTTATGTGCATGGAAACATCAAACTAACGCACATTAAACTTACATCACCCAGACGATAACGGGAACGAGGGAAAAACAAACCGGAGCCCAACTCCTTATCCCCGCTTTCAAGCCAATACTATATAATACTATATTTCAAGCAGCCTTTAGATGCTCTAGAAAAACAGACCATAATGAATAATCACTGAAGCAATTGGCAGATTATATTACATTACATTATCTAGCCAAAGTGTCACTAATTGTAACTCATACCACACAATTTGTTAGTATTTTGTATTTCACCCCGTAAGAGTTCTTAGTGCACAAATATTGTATTCATTTCAGGTGTCATTTACACTGTGGATACTGGGGACATGACTCCATCACTTTTTTTTAAAGCATTTGTTAAATATGTTCTGAAAAATGGCTTGCAACAAGAAATGTTAAAAAAATTAATGACAATACTTTGAGAAAGATTTATTTGCACAAAAAGAAAACATGCAATGCAATTTAAAGATAAAAGAAACAAATATGCATTGTTCAAAAAAGTTTAAGCTAAAAAAATCTGAATCACTTTATTTAAATAAAGACAATTCTACCATAAATTGATTGACAGATAATGTCTCCAGAATACAGTAAACGAAGTGTTTAGTGCTCAAAATCTTCTAGGGGACCCCCATTTAAATATATTTCAGCATTGAATATTTCATCAAATAGTGTTAAAATATCTTCTTGTCTTGTTCTTATCAAAGCACAAACGCACCCCAAGCTATAGTGTGTTAAATATGAATTTATTATAATAAAATGTTTTATTAAATTCACGTAACCTCGTAAATAATTTTCTCAGGCTTAAAATTAATACAGATTTTCCATTAAATGGCAATGAAGTTGGTATTAAATTTCATCCTAGGTGGTATTCTGTATTTGGGAATCCTGGGGGTACTCTATATTAAAGGTTTTGGCGCATTCTAAACAAATTTCTTGTAAATGGTCGTGACAGGGTGAATAAAGCCTTTTCAGGCGGCTTCGATCCGCGGAATCGCTCTGTGCTCCTCATCAACAGACAGGCAAACAAGCACTCTGTGAGGTAACCATGGCAACGGCTGTGTAACTGACTTGAAAGTTAGTAATTATATTATTTAGGCTAGTTATAGACTCAATTATTTCATGTTGCATGTTGCACATTTAGCTGTTGAAGCTTGGTAAAAAATGAATACAAAATAATTATACAGAGGTTGCGATGGAGCAGCGATGGATTAGACACTTGTCTTTGATTCCCCCTGCAACACATTCACCAAATAACTTATTGTCATGGATCCTGCTTTACCATCCATGTTATAATAGAGGCACCGCCAGATTAATCGGGGTGGTGGGTCTCCGTATATTTTCTTGCTTTTTTGCCCTTTGCCAATCACATTCCTAATTAACTTGCTGCTAATGTTGTCCTCTGCTATGCTCGCTTTCACTGTCACATACTCATACTCAATACACACATTTTACTGTCTGCAAAAATTCCTCTATGCAGCCATTGAATGGCCTGGAAGGTTGGCTTTATACCTCTTGTATTTTAAAGAAGTGACATGCTTTTGGCAGTCGATTACTCTTTTTTGTGCACTATAGTGACATCTAATGGACAATTAAAATAATTTCATGTTCATCCATATGCAGTGACTCATGCATTGAGTTGATTGTTTGATTGATTGATGTAAGTTAGCAATTATCTTCACCTACTACTGTGAGTGGAACACCTTGGACTACGTCTCAGGAATAACCTCTCCAAAATTCTGTATCGGCATTGATAAAATGATGAGAAATACTTACTACATATAAAACACCAGTTTGTGTAGAGTAAAGAAGCAACAAATTTAAAATTGTAATGTAATCAATCTGTTCTTTCTTTTATTTCCTTACAGATATCTGATGTTTGAAAGAGTTTTGTTTTGATTTTGTTTATTGTAATGGTAACCGAGTGAATGAGGCCTGTTTTTGTTGTATGATGTTCATGATGAAGTTCCTTGATATGTCCAGGACTGTAAACATCCAAGGTCATTTTAACAAAAAATGTGCCTTTTCTGCCAAGGCCTTTTGCATAAAATAAAGGGTGTTTCTTCCTTCACTGCCATTTGTGTTTGTTTCTGTTCTGAAGAATTACCTCTTGTGAACACTTGATAGTAAGTCCACTATATGCTGCACTTGTCTTTTGAGGGTGAAACTTTAAAGCTATTTGTGCCCTAAAAGCCTTGCAGCTTATCATTCTGGCTTCTACAACTTACTGCCTTGACTAAACATTGTTTTCCTGAGTTTGCTGGTACTTGTTTTCCTTTGTGCCTTTACTCACTGTGACATCACTGATTGAGTGTGGCTAGAGACACAACATGCCTGTTGTTAAAGTTAAACCCTTAAGCAAAGTGCAGCTTTTTACTCACAAAGCTTTTTACAAAAACAACAAACAGCAATAGGTTTGATGTGATGTAAAAAGTTTACAAACTTTTTATCCAATATTACAGATTTTAAATGTAAAAGTGCACTATACAATTAATATGATTTACCTAAAAATTACAAAGAAAAACATTGAATTGTTGGTATGGACATATACCTTAATATTATGAGCTACATATTTAATTACAGATAACTTTTGTGATTTTACATACATTTGTCTGTAATTTAAGAAAACAGAAAAATACTGTATAAATAATACAGTAATTTTTCTGTACAACAATGAGAAATAAATGTAATTTGTTATTATTGTCAAAATACCTAAAATAACAGCAAGGTTGTTAATTCACATATAATGTTTGTAATTTTACAGAGTTTTGTATATAAAAAAAAATATCTGAAAACTACTGTAAAAAAAGTTATTTTCTGTAAATTTAGGATTTTTTTTACAGTGTATTATTGTTGGTGGGCCGGTTCTGACCCGCAGGCCGGCAATTGCCGACCACTGCTCTAGGCAGTCAATGGACATAAACTTGTTACTGTGATGTAGAGACAGGAAACAGTTAAAATATTACATATATGTGTATTGAAATTGAACATTTAATAGAAAATCATGCGATTAATCACGATTAAGACATTTTTCTGAAAAGGTATCAGCAGAAACCTTTTTTTTTTTATCAGGGAGCACCATAAACAGTCTATGTTCAGTAGCAAGTGTCCCTGTTTGAGTGAGGTGAAGTGGTCGCCGATGAGAGAGAAGAGAGACTGATCCTCGCTGTTTGTGAGTTTCCAGAATCTATTACTGTACTAAATAGTTATCAGGATATCAACAGGAGGGAATTTGCATGGCAGAGCAACTGACTTAAAATAATAATATTAAAACTGTGTTAACGTGTGATAAAATAGTTGTCTGCATTTATTGGTGTGAATGCTGTAAAGCAAAATATGTATCTCAATTAGGACATTATTGCTATTATTCAGCATTTTGATAACCTTCATACTTTACAAGATATTCAAGGTTTTCCAGGCATTTTTCCCCATTCAAGTGAATGGACGGAACGTTCAAAATGTCCCCATTTTCACACTTTTTCAAGGTTTTTCAACTGTTAACAACTCATTCATACTTTCAGCTAGAAACTCCATTCAAAATTGAAAAGTTTCCACATCTTTCCTTTTTTCTACATATTATTCAACTTTAAAATCCTATTTAAACTCTTCAAGCTAATCAACTTTCTTTGAAACTTTGTTTATAATGTAAGTCATTGAGCAAATCATTAAAACTCACTGATCTTCATCCTTTTCCCACTAAAACGTACATTCACATAGAAACACCATTACACCTCTAAAACGTTCACAAACTTCTGGACTCTTTCCAGTTAATTCAACTTTTTCACATATTTCATATTTTTTACACAGGCTCAAGTCAAGTTTCATGTTGCTTTCAGCCTGTTTTCTGAGTTTATAATGGGAGCAGATGGGACGGAATGTGGCAGCCAGAGTGAGAGGACCAACTGACACAGTGAGAATTCACTTCAAAATCTTCTTAAAAATTTTCTTCAACTTGCTGTATGTCCAATTTTCACTCTACACAAATATTTTTTTTAACAAGTTGTAGGAACACTTGTTCTGCTGCTGTATGTGTAACGTTGAAAGCAAACAGATTTACTGCCAGCTGCCACAGTCAGCTTGAAAGTGAGAGCAGTGCCAGCTGACTGCCGCATAGACTCCCATACTAAAAAAGTCCTGCAGTTTCAGGAAAGAGGCAGAAAAATGGACATTTCCATACTGCTGCTGTAGACACATTCCAGACGGTCAAATATATTAATTCACTGTGCTACAGCCTCCGTTTTGGCCGCTAGTAAAAGTTACCTCAAAGCGCTGGGTACTTCCGGTCGGCGCGGAGGGATTGCGATGCTACCCAGCCGACCAATCACAGAACTTACGGTCTGCGTCGACTCGACATGTAGTTACATTTTTGATGAAGTGCACGTCAGGCGTTGATTTGACACAGAAGTATAAATTACCCTTAAGTCCGACAGCTTTTACTATCACCATGGAAACCTAGATTGCAGGCTCAGCACTCAGCAGATTGAGATGATGTAGTGATGTAATGCAGACAACTCAGTAAACATGGCCCTTCACTACATCCTCCAGCACCTGGACTGGAAACCTGGAAAGCTACAGGGACCGGTGGAGGTGGGGGTAAAATATCCATGCAGATGCTGGTCTCTGATAAAATCTGATAAAATAGTTAGTTGGTGGGGGCGGGTTGGATGATCTATGTGTATAGGCCCATATGAATATTTCGTTAATGTCCGAGCCGATCCGCGCATCACACCAATTCAGCTGCTGTAATCGTGACGAAACAGTGCAAAGAGCTGCTGAAGTCAAATTATTAGGCTGTAATATCAACCAGAGCATTCAGCACTGATCTGCTGTGTTTCATGTTTTAATAATAGTGCCCATGTAGTCTGCACATGTCATTCCAACAGTAGAGTCCTGTGGTGACAGTTTTAATTGGGGTTAAATGACATAAATGTTACTGTGTCATTTTGTAAAGGGACTGATAATGAAACTCTGACTTCATCAGGCTGAGGGTTGAAATAATCTCCTGTATACAGACAAAAGGCGCATCGCAAAAAAAGTAGTAGCCCACTGTGTAGCCTAGTGAATAATTAGACTGCTGTAATCTGACTGTTTTCAACAGATGCTATAATGTTTATTGGAACCTCCAGATGTTTCTACCTGTTATAATGTTAACAGACAGGTTTCTGGATTGTGAAGAAATGATCTGTAGCCTTTAGTGCCAAAAGCTGCTCTGCCAGAGATCACAGCTCAAACAGTGGACAGATGATGCAGCTGTGCAACACGTCATATTTAATGCACTTTAAAATGACGGCTCCGAGGAAAGGACATCTCATTTCGTTAAATGCCGTTTCCTCGACTCCTCTCTCCTCGCGTCTCCACCTCAACTCCTTGAGCTCGCATCTTGGGTGGGAGGGACTAAGATGCGCCGCGTCCTCACCAACACCAACCAATCCTCAGCCGGGGATTGCACAGCCTGCTTAGCATACTGGAAACACACACAAACAGTAACGAAATACAACTGCTACAGCTCCAAAAATCCTTAAAACATTGCACATCTTTCATACCTTTGTACTATTCAACTTGTTTCAAGACAGCCATTCAGTTTAGCGCAAGCCCTTCAGCAGACAGCATTCACACCACAATTTCTTCAGAAATTAATTAATGTGTTAACGCGGTATTAACGCGTTAACGCACAGTCCTAGTTTTCTAGTTTCTCTAGTTTCTTTCCAAAGTGTTTCCTGGTATTCAGAAAATGAAACTCCATCCATCTCTTCCTCTTTCCATCCCTCTATTCAGAGTAAAACTGGATTGTTTGTTTTGACGCTTTATTTGTGCCATTAACCAGCAGGAAGTGTGACCGGTCATAGTGTGTGTGTAATATCCTCGTCCAATCAGAGCATGGTTTGGACCGGATCGCTGTTGCTACACAATTACTGTCAAATGTCAATTTCATGGAGGCAATATTGAGGAGATTAACACTCACACACAGTCTGACACATACACAATCATGGGAACACACAGACAGGCAGAATAACAGAAAGACAACACTAGTAAACACACACACAGCAGAGATGGAGTGAATGTTAATGTATGGCCTGAGGAAGGGTGAAAGTGAAGGTGACTGAATGCTATTCAGTCTAATGGAAAGCTAGCCAACCTTAACCCTATCACTGAAAATCACCTGCACACTACAAAATAGCCCCTAAACACACCTCATCATACACACCTCCACATCCTGGAATTCACATCTCATGTAAACTGCCCTCTGTCCTGCACCATCTCTACATTTAGCGTCCTGTTGATTCACTCTCACTGAAAACTAAAACATGCTTCAGCTTTCAACTCATGGGCTTCGTGCCACCCGTATCGACAAGACTGTTCATGCAGTGTCACTGCAAAACCCCAGATTTTGTTCAGTGTCCAAACTGTTTAAAGCCCTGCTCCAGTGTGTTTTGGCATTTTAATGATTATTCATATTTTTCTGAGTCGTTTGCAATGTTGATTAGCCACACTGTTCGCCAGTAATTTTTTTTTGTGTTTAAAGTTGCTAAAATGGGGTGGTGATGTACTACTGTAGTCGAATCTGCAGGTCATAAGTCATACTACAATGGCATCTATGTGTACGATGAACAGACGCAATCAACGCAGTAAATTATACAAAATCATGAGCATGAGGCTGTTTGTAATCAGTAGTTGGGCTTCTTGGGCTTGAGAATGGACAACAGGAAACAAGCCGCATTTTAATCTGCAATGTGCAGTTTACTGAAGACTGTTTCACCAATACAGCAGCAGTGGTAATGGGGTATCAGAGAAAGCTGAGGTTGAGGAGGATGCCATCAGCATTGATGAAATGGAGAGCTGTGCACTGAAATTTTTCAAATCATTTCTTCACACTAGCAAACTAATGTTAGTTGATGACTGATTATTTCATTCTCTCATAAGTAAAGAAGTCTCTTAGCCCACCACCTCAGACATTCATAATGTTCAGATAAGTCATCAATGTGTCGTTGTTTACAGTGATGTTGGACAAATAATGTGCTTTTAGGCTTATCCAGTGTTCAAAACAACAGTATGCATACAGTGTTTCAATGATGGGAT